ACTCGGCACCAGGACTTGCCACTCCGTTGATGCTCGCTAGCTCTCCAGGAGCTGCTCGTTTGACGAGGGCCGCGGATGAGGATCCTGCTTCGCTCGTCTTATTTGCCTTGGCGCTGTGGACTGCCAATCGCATAGGACGACTGTGGCTGACCAGCCTGCCTGTTCGGAGGTCGAACTCAGGTGGCATCGACTCCTCTCCCTCCACGCCGTCTTCCTCAACGCCCTGATCTACTTCTATACTTGCGCCGTTGGTCTCCTTGGCCTCTTTGTCTTCTGTCTGGCTCTCGCCGTTTACTACACCGTTTGTCGTCTCAGGCTCGTCAAGTTTGAGCCGCTCGATACCTCCCCACCATTCACCACCCCATATCCTCTCCTCTTCCTTCATCAGTGCGACTTCCATCTCGAACGGCGTGATGACGGGCCTCCAGTACCCGCTTTCCTGGTCCTCGCCGATCAACCCGCCCTCCCAGCAGCCAACAACCACCCAACCCTCAATCTCAGAGAAGTTGGCCAGCTTGGCTGGGTTGAGTCGCCCCACGACAACGGTATAGCTCTTCTTGCCCGCGTCGGCGATGCGTTTGCGCAGCAGATCAATCGACGCAAGCGAATTGGCGACGGAGAGCGTGTTGACGAGAATCCCAATCACACCCGCAGATGCGAGGGACAGAACACGGGCGAATCGACGGCGGAGCAGACCTGCTGTCCGCATCGTGGGATTCTCGACGGTTGTTGATGGAGCTGGGAGGACGTGGAGGGAGGCGAAGCGTGGTAAGAGGGCGAGGAGGAGGGACGATGGAGGGTCGGAGATGTGGAAGAGGGAATGTTCTTTCAGGGTTTCACTGTCTAGGTCGGCGCCGGAGCCTGTGGCTATCCGTCGGTTAGGGATAATGCCTGCCGGGTCCCTCACCACCTCGGTGCCCAGCACGTTTGAATAGCCCTTTTCTCGTATCCGCGCTAGTAGCGGTTCTACGTTTTGCTGATATGTGAGGTCTGCCATGATGACAACCTTGGTCTCGACCGCTGGGAATTCCTTGGCGAAGCTTTCGACCGCCGAGTCTAGCTCCAGCTCCCGGCTGGTGTAAACGTAGATGACGGGTAGTCTGCTTGTAGGGCTCAGGCAAGCCCGGCCATAGTGCACAACCACTTCAGCATCTGCATGCTCTGCAGCGACTTCATCCACACAGCATGCGCTGTAGCTCGTATCGGCCAGGACATATATTCTCGGGGGGACTGTTGAGACGCCGTCTGCGCCGGCGGAAAGCTCGCGGGTCAAGGCTTCGGACACGCGGGGTGCGTCGACAAGCATGGAGTCTGCGAACTGGAGAGCGACGCGCTTCCAGGCGCCTTGTCGCAGCTCGGATACGGTTCGTGGGATCTCGTAAACGGAGTAGAGGGCATCTTCAGAGATGGTGGAGTTTTCTTGGGCGGCGGCGGGGACTTCGAGGATGAGCTCGTCGGGGGTTGAGAGAACGGGAGGGGCGGAGAGGTCGGACGCCATGGTGGACGCAGCCCAGAGCTACCTGCTCTCGAGGGACTTGGGAGGATGGTATTTGTGCAACCCACGATATTAGGTCGACCTGGCTTTGGAAATCTCTACCTCTAGCCAGTGATCATTTTGTGATTGGAACTTTTGGCGGGGAAGTTTTCTGGAAATTTTGGCCGCGACCCTGTGTAAAGGCGGGGTTGCTGGTGCCAATTTCTGGTGGCAGCCCTGTGCAAACTTGCCGCTCACCATCTTGCTCTACCAGGTATATCAGGCATTGGCCACCAGTTTCCGAATACCAATTGCGTGCCATACACATGATGGAAAACTACAGCTCCAGTTCCACTCTACTCAAAATTCCAGAATTGCTAGGTTACAACCGGGCCAATAGATGTCTTGAAGACATGACACCCAGTGGCACAGGCTGTGGGGTGATCAATTATCCAATTCGACTGACTATCAAGGGCCGGACCAATCGGAGATCAAATGAAACGTTACGACAATATAAATATACGTTACGGACAGAGGGAGGACAAGCCTAATGTGTCCATGTGAGCATCGTCGAACAGGAATTCGACGGCGATTCTCAGCCCAATGGCAAGGGAGGGTATTAATAATGAATCGTCGGCACCACTAGCGTCGTCTTTGGTCCCGGCACTAAGGTAGCAGAAAGACGGGGTGCCGTTTCTGGAAATTCGTGTAATCTGGCGTCTCATACACGCATTTCCACTCTCGGATGCTTGACTCTCTGCCAGGAAGACGAACCCTTAGGTTTTCGAGGGAAACGTGGGCCAATGCATGTGTTGCCTACGGCTCTTTGCCGGCCGGTCTTTTGCAATTGTGGAGGGAACCAGGTGGCCTTTGATAACGGCAATTTCCCAGGCCCCAACACACGGGCGGTCGTCACTGACCATGGCTGCTGCGCATAAGTATGGCCATGCCTTCCCTTATTAATAATAGACTCACGTTCCACCGGCCCAGTAAAGTATAATATACCACAGCAATGCTGACTGACCCCCAGTCAAATAAACAAAGGCAAACCTAGATTTCGTGAACCGCCGAAGCGGGAGTTTCGTGTCACTCGTTTTCCCATTTGGGGCGAGCGTCTATGCGGGTGAAGCTCAGTTCGATATTCTACCCATTTAAGCTGTCCTAAGGGGTCCAGCCAATGGGGCCACGGGCCTGATCGAGCTAGGTCCCGAAAACGGTATCTCTTCTAGATCCTTGTCCGAGAAAGTTGCGTCGTCTAAGTTGTTAACCGTAGTGGTGCGACCAACGCTTGATAAATCAAGGCCGCTGTGCCCTCCCTGTCAAAGATAGGAATTTCGTCTATTCACAACAGACGAGTTGGGGACGTATTGACCAACGTCCTAGTGTACGACCAAGGGGCCTTGCCGAATCCCTTTATCACGTAAAGAATCAAGCTCAGGCACTTCTCAAGTACTTAAGGGCCTGGAATTCCCACTTACTTCCTTACTTGCTGTGTGACAAGTCGCAGCAGTTCTCTATCCAAGAAACACGAAAGACAAACTTACCACTATGGGTCAGAAAAGTCATCCCTTGGAGGGGAAAGATATCATAGTCGCAGGTGGAGGTGTCGCCGGATCTGCTTTTGTTGCGGCACTCACCAAGCTTTGGAACCCCGAACTGAAACAACCAAACATCATCGTCATCGAACGTGACCCGCGAGATGTTGTTCGCCAGAGAGAGGGCTACAGCCTGTCACTAACGGGACACGACGATATGAGCGGTCTGGCCGTTCTCAAAAAGCTGGGCCTCCTCGACAGTGCACTCGAAAAGGCTGTAGCAAGCACAGATGATACTGGTGCCTTTAAGATCTGGGGTGCAGATTGGACAGAGAAAACTAGCCTTCACCGGAAACCTGCTGAAGGGCTACCTACATCAACCATCCGCATATCCCGCAGGGAGCTTCGCGGACTTCTGCACAATACAATCGACGACAAGAGCACAATAATGTGGGAGACGCAGTGCATCTCCGCCAAGGCTCTCGACAACGGCCGGGTGCAGGTTGAGCTCATGGATAACGACAACGAACACGTCCGATACAAGGAGTGCGACCTGCTCATAGCTGCCGACGGTGCCAGCAGCAAGCTGAGATCCTACCTCCGGCCCGACGATCAACTGGAATATCAAGGAGCGGCGTTGAGGGGCGGTCTCTCCAGGTTCGACGGGCCATTGCCGGCCCCTCTCAACAAGGACTGGGGGTTCGCCCTGTCCGGGGATGGTGTGTCGTGTTTTTACTCTCCAGTTGATGAGCATACGGTCGTCTGGACAGTAGGCAATCAGGAGCCAGAGCCGCTCCCTCCACTGGACCACTCTTCTGAAGCTGCTTGCAAGGCGGTGGTCGAGCGAGGGCGGGAGCTGGGCGCTCTCTTCCACGAACCGTTCAATACCATCGTCAACAACACTGACCTAAGGGCTGTTCTCTGCATCAATGCAAGGGACAAGATGCCTTTTGCTCACGACGGCTTTGACACCCTGCCCATCGTGTTTATTGGTGATAGCAACCATGCCCTGAGCCCATTCTCTGGCATTGGAGCCAACCTTGCACTGGGCGATGCGTGGGAATTAGCAAAACAAATCTGCGTGGAGGGTCAGGTGTCTCTGGCGGGTGCGGTCAAGGCCTACGATTCCGTCATCGTGCCTAGAACGACCAAGATCGTCAAGGCGGCGCGGAGACGACTTGAGATGGGTCACAGCACTGGCTTGAAACTGTGGTTGTTTTATCTGATACTGGCTCTGAGTAGAGTGGTTGGGCTCATTGTCGGGGACAGGAGGAAATGATGCCGTTGTGAAAGTCGAGGGGCCATGTTTTATGATTGCATAATTGTCGGTAGCGGGCGCTTTTGATTTGATAATGTTTTGCTCGTTTCTTTTTCCTTTGGAAAGCGCGACGTGCGTGCTACACGCGTTGCTGCCAAGGGGGAAGCACCTGTCGCTAATCAAGTATATTGCTAAAATCACAAGAGGAATCCGTATGGGAGGGATGAATGTCCAGTGCCAATAAATGGATCTATGCTCATGCCGATATCATCCTTTATCCGGCTGTTCCCAAGGTCTTTTAAACATGTCCATCGCTTCGGCATTCTCGTACTTGATGCACCTCCTTAAAGTAGACCCACTGAGCTGAGCTGGTGGAGGGGTTCGCAGATCGCACTGTACTCCACACCAAGAAACTGCACTAAAACACGGTGTTATCTGAATACGCACTGTTATCCACCCTATCTGCCTCTTTACGCGACCCCAGACCCAGGACGCGACGTTTGATGAGCAGCGATTCGCGCAGGACGCGCAGCAATTTATCTGGGTGTCTTGTCCCTCGACCGTGCTAGTGACCTCCTCCCCTCGACCGTTCACTCCTTCATTGCAGTGTTTTTGCCCATTCTGATCACTTGTTTTCTGAATCGTGCATTGCGTGTCGTCCAATTCTTCCGATCCAATCTATTGTTTCTGCTGTTTGTGTTTCACTGACCAGGCAGCTGGTCTACCTGTAGCGATGGCTGGTGAGAAGGTCGCCAACGGCAGCGCGGCTGCTCGCACCCCAGCCAAGAGCCTCGGGGCCAAGTCCGCAGCGTCTGTTTCCTCCTCGGCCAAGCAGCAGCGCTCGATCAAGTCTTTCTTTCAAAAATCCTCGCCCGCCGCTGCATCCTCGCCCGCAACCGCTTCCAAGCCTTCACCCGACCCTGCCTCCAAGTCCTCGTGCCTGAAGGAGACTACCAAGAACAACGCTCTCCCCAAGACGAAACCGGCTCCCGCATTCAATCCCGCCACCAAGGTAAAGTTGTCCACGCCTGTGCCCAGCAGCGACGCCCTGGAGCCCCCAAGTTCACAGGAGAACATGGATGCTGCCTCAGCCGATCTCCCCTCTCCCACAGCCCTGCCAACAAGGACCAGCCGGACAGCTTCCAAGCCCATGAAGAAGGAGGTAAATGGGAGTAGCCCTTCGCGAAAGGCAAGTGGGAACATATTCCCCCCTAAAATCCTGCAATATCACTTCTCAGACACTAACTGTTGTATTTGTAGACCCGCAAAGTCGTTAGTTACGCCGAGTCGTCCGACGAGGATGATGATCCGTTTGCATTTGAAGCCCCCTCACAGACAAGGCGCCGTGCTAGAAGATCGGCCGTTATTGACGAGGAGGACGAATATGGCGAGGATGAGAACGGGGCAGCAGATCAGGAAGACGGTTCGTGTCTCGTGCATCACCCTCAGTCTCAACTGTAGACCTTTGGACTAACTCTGATAGATGACATTGACGATTTTATTGTGTACGAGGAATCAGAAGAAGAAAGCAATAAGGCCAGGAAAAGAAAGCGACCTTCTAAGCCCCAGTCATCACGAAAGAAATCCACCGTCTCGTCTCCTATTACCCGTGACGATGAGGACCACCCGACCCTCGATGACGACGATGTCATGGATGACGGCTCAGGGTCTACGGCAGTTCAGTGGACATATGATCCCGAGTCGACCGACAAGCAACCAGTCACAAAGCCCGCAGACAGAGGTCCACGGGATCCCAACGTCAAGGAGAAAGCACACACCAGAGAACCAGAGGATCGCTACCCCTGGCTTGCTAACATTCGGGACAAGGAGAAGCGAGCCCGCGGTGATCCTGAATATGATCCACGAACCATTTTTATCCCTCCGATGGCTTGGAACAAATTCTCCGCTTTCGAGAAACAGTACTGGGAGATCAAACAAAATCTTTGGGACACCATCGTCTTCTTCAAGAAAGGCAAATTCTACGAACTGTATGAAAATGATGCCACCATCGGTCATCAAGAGTTCGACTTCAAGATGACCGACAGAGTAAACATGCGCATGGTTGGTGTGCCTGAAAGTTCTCTGGACCATTGGGTCAACCAGTTCATCGCCAAGCAGTACAAAGTCGCCCGAGTTGACCAAATGGAGACGAATCTGGGCAAGGAGATGCGCGAGAGACAAGACAAGAGCAAGAAGGCAGACAAGATCATTACTCGCGAGCTTGCCTGCGTTCTTACGGCTGGTACATTGGTGGATGGTGGCATGTTACAGGATGACATGGCAGCCTACTGCGTGGCGATCAAGGAGTCCATCGTGGATGACCTTCCAGCTTTCGGTATCGCATTTGCCGATACCGCCACTGGCCGCTTCCATCTCTCTGGCTTTGTAGACGATGTGGACTTGACCAAGTTCGAGACCCTAATCGCTCAAACTGGCCCTCGGGAGCTCCTCTTAGAAAAGTCGCAGCTCTCTACGAAAGCTTTACGCGTGCTCAAGAACAACACTAGCCCTACTACCATCTGGACACACCTGAAGCCTGTCACAGAATTCTGGGATGCGGACACGTCTCGCCGCGAGATCAACACTGGGAACTATTTTGCGACCGAGGATGGCGCGGACGAGATCTGGCCCGAGAGTTTACTGAAGTACAAGGACGACGATCTTGTCATGTCTGCTCTTGGAGGTCTTGTCTCATATCTCAAGTTCCTCAAGCTGGAACGTCCTCTTCTATCTCAGGGCAGCTTTGAGACATACAACCCCATCCAGAAGAACGGCACGCTCATCCTCGACGGACAAACGCTTGTCAACCTAGAACTTTTCTCTAACTCTGCTAACGGCGGATCCGAGGGTACATTATTCAGCCTCCTGAACCGGTGTGTCACGCCTTTCGGAAAGCGAATGTTCCGTTCATGGGTCGCTCATCCCCTCTGCGATATTGGCCGTATCAACGACCGCTTAGACGCCGTCGCGATGCTAAATGAGGATCCTTCTATTCGAGAACAGTTCGCGTCTCAGCTAGTCAAAATGCCAGATCTGGAGCGACTTATTTCTCGCATCCATGCTGGTGTTTGCAAGGCCGACGTCTTCGTGCGAGTTCTTGAGGGGTTCGAGCAGATTGAGTACACCATGAGCCTTCTCGGTTCCTTCAAGGGCCGCAATGGCCTCGTCGATCAGCTTGTTTCCAGTATGCCTCAGCTTGAAGAACCCCTCAGCTACTGGAGCACAGCATTTGATCGCCACAAAGCCCGCGAAGAGAAGCTCCTGATCCCCGAGCGAGGTATCGAGGAAGACTTTGACGAGAGTGTGGATCGCCTAGCCGAAATCAAGACTCAGCTGGATGATCTCCTAAAGGAGCAAAAGGCGACTCTGAAGTGTCGAACTATCAAGTATACGGACATTGGCAAGGAGATTTACCAGATGGAAACTCCCAAGTCGGTCAAGGTACCTTCAAGTTGGCGCCAGATGTCCGCAACCAAGGACCTGAAGCGATGGTACTTCCCTCAGTTGAGCCAGCTGGTGCGAGAACTTCAAGAAGCAGAGGAGACCCACTCCCAGCTCATCAAAGGTGTCGCTGCTCGTTTCTTTAAGAAGTTTGACGTTGACTACGACACCTGGATCAAAGCAATTAAGATTGTTTCCCAGTTGGACTGTCTGGTCAGCTTAGCAAAGGCATCCTCCTCTCTCGGCCAGCCCAGCTGCCGTCCTCACTTTGTCGACGAGGAGCGTAGCGTGGTGAAGTTCGAGGAATTGAGGCATCCCTGTATGATCAACACTGTGGACGACTTCATCCCTAATGACATCAAGCTCGGTGGTGATGAGGCTAAAATCAATTTGCTCACCGGCGCCAACGCGGCCGGAAAGTCGACCGTTTTGCGAATGGTAAGAACAATTTTTCCCCGTCTCCTTCTAAACCAAGTTACTAATCTCATGTTTAGTCCTGCATCGCCGTTATCATGGCACAGATTGGATGTTACGTACCAGCGGTGTCGGCTCGCTTGACACCGGTAGACCGTATCATGTCGAGATTGGGTGCTAATGACAACATCTTCGCCGCCCAGTCTACCTTTTTCGTAGAGCTTTCGGAGACGAAGAAGATTCTTTCCGAGGCTACACCGCGGTCTTTGGTTATCCTCGATGAACTTGGCCGTGGAACCAGCTCGTACGATGGTGTGGCTGTCGCTCAGGCAGTCCTTCACCATGTCGCCTCACACATTGGCTGCATTGGGTACTTTGCCACCCACTACCACTCACTGGCGACCGAGTTTGAGAATCACCCTGAGATTCGGGCACGACGGATGCAAATCCATGTCGACGAAGCAGAGCGCAAGGTTACGTTCCTGTACAAGCTGGAAGACGGAGTGGCAGAGGGCAGCTTCGGAATGCACTGCGCCGCCATGTGTGGCATCTCCAGCAAGGTCATTGAGCGTGCTGAGGTTGCAGCCCGCGAGTGGGAACACACCAGTCGTCTCAAGGACAGTCTTGAACGCGCGAAGACGGGGTGCTACATCCCACTCGGTGTCTTGAGCGATATCGGTGCACTTCTTGGCGACAAGGGAGAGATCGGGGACAAGGGGATGGAGGTCCTGTTGCAGGCCATCGAGAGCCTATAATGATAATGCCAGTCAGCGGTGCTTTTGGTCTTTAATTTCTCGTTTTTTCTCTATTCTTCTCTTCAGGTTTGGTATTTGCGACAGTTCAATGCGTTGGGTTGGTTGGGCGTATGTACAAGAGAAAGACATGGCGGCATCTATCCGGCATCTAGATATAATAAAGGGAAGCTCGGTTTGCTTTCTCGCTTTGGCAATCGACGGGAATGGGATGGGCGCTATCTGGGACTTTGGTTGCTTTCTGTCAAAGAGGTCCGGCTACAGAAGCTGGCCGGAGACTTGAGTTAGCGTTACATGGACAGTCACTTTTTAGGCAATGCTGTATGTTGGTCAATATTCACATAATTGGTATTAAGGGGTCGAGGCCCGGGACAAACTTGCGCTCAATAAACGATCCAAAACAGCAAACAATAACCACCGTAAGTCAAAACGCCCATCTCTACTGTCTCCGCGCGCGTTGCCTAGCAGACCTCCTGGGGGCCTCTGGAGGAGGAGCAGGTTCGGCGGCGGCGGCACTTGTGGTTCTGCTTCCTCTTCTACCTCGCCGACCCCCAGCTGCGCCTCTTGGGCCTGAGGCCCGGGCTCTGCGTCTACCTTGAGCTCGGGTCCTGCCTCGAGCTGGGGCATCTTCCGGGGCCGCGCTCTCTGCATCCTCATCGCCCTCGTCGACGTCGGACTGCGGGGCTGGTCTGTACGTGCTGTCTCCTGCTCGTCTGCGCTTTCGTGGACGAGTCTCGTCCGGGTCAGGCTCAATGCCATCGTCTGGGTCCGGCGCCGCATCCTCCCCGAGTTTTTTCTCGACTGGCGGTGGCCAGGGCTTATTCCAATTCTCCCTATTTGACTCATTGTTGGGGTCATATTCCCAATAAGAGCTGTTTTTCGGTCCGCCATGAACAGGGTAGAACTTGTTCGGGAAGAGCTCTTCGAAGGGATCTCGGTAGGCCTTCCTAGCCTCGGCTACCGCATATTTTGAGCGTTCAATCCATCCACTCCGGTCGGGAAGATTCTTATTACTTCCCCGCTTGTTAGGGATCCCGCAGTTGCCTTCAGGATTTTCGTGCGCCTGGACACAATATCACATTAGCGTGGATCTCACGAAGGGAAAATCTCTTGTCTGCAATGTCAAACGTGGGAAGGGGTGGAAAGTCTAAACTTACCCGCCACTGAGCCTCAAAGCTAGGTTGAGCATTCTTCGGGGGTTTAATATGCTCCAAAGGCAAACTTCTCAAACACATAGAGCACTTGTCGCCTGGATTGGGCACGAAAGGGGGGTCTGGGACAGTCGTGGGCCCACTAGATTGTGAAGCGGCCTCTGGAGCGTCCTCTTCTTCTTCCGGTTGGGTCTGCTCTTCGCCGTGGGGAGCTGATTCATGCATATTACCATCATGTGCTTGCCCTCCAGGTGCCGTTCCGGCGAGGGGTTGAGCCTGCAGGACAGGGTTCCCGCCCTGGGCGGCTGTTGATTCTCCTGCTCCGGGATGTAGACGTCCCAGAGCAAGTAATGCCATTCCAACATCTTTCTCAATATCGGTCATCTCTCGCTGAGCCTGCTCCTGGACAGCCGTTAGTCGAGGGTCCCCATACTGGGTCCTTGGCTGGGCCTGCTCTCTGACTTGAACAGTCCGGCCTTGGGAATAATGGGCCAAGGGCTGTGGAGACTGTGCTGTAGGGTTCAGGTTGGGCTGAACCAGAACCAGAGGAGATTGTGCTGTAGGAATCGGGTGGTGCTGAACTAGAGGAGATGAGTGCTCAGGCAGCGCCCCATCTCGATTCCACGGCGGTAGAGGGGAAGAGTGATTCGCCCTCACGGAGGTAGGAGAAGGGCCAGAAAGGCTCAGCGTTAAGCTAGAGAGACTCTGGGAGAACTGCCTAAAGGATGGTAGCACAGCCCCGGGATAGTGGGCGTGGCGGATGTGATCTGCTAGATCCTCTGCACTGTTGTAGACAGCCTCATCATGGCATCGGTCTGCAAGAGGGCATGACACGCCCAAGCTCTGAACGGTGCTTATCAGACTGTTCCTGTGGACGTCGCGGATATGGTCTACGAGATCCCGTGCACTGTTGTTGACAACCACATAATGGCATCTTTCATGAGGACACCGCAACCCAGGCTGGATAATGGCTTCTTCCAAGCCCTGTACAGTGCTTGTCAGAGTTTGCTGCTCCCGAACCGTCAGGCAAACGTTGTTTCCCGACGGCGACGAATCTCCCTCCTCAATCTCTTCGCCGCTACGGTTGCTCTCTCCCAAATCTGGCTGCGCACTAGCCATTTTATCTGTTCGGTCTTATTCACACAGTGTAATTTTCAAGACAACGGTGTGTTTCGGTTCTTGTGTCGGGTTTTGGTGTCTTTCTCAGAAGTCAATAGCTGGGTTAGGGCGACGACCATCTTTATTATATCTGGTTTGGACAGCGGCATCATAGATCAACCCTTTGTGGTCCATTATGTTCAAATTAATAAGAAGGAGAAACAACAAAAACCAAGGCTACTTGAAAGAATGGGCACAGCTTTGGTTGTCTACACTTCGAAAAGAAGCATTTTGAAACAACACTCTAGACGTCCAACTTATTTTTGAACTGCGATGAGCTGCAGAACAAAAGTTGGGCATTAGAAATAAATACAGGTCCTATCTCTGAAGGTTATTAACGAGTCTATTGTTTTGTCGTCTAATTCCTTCTAAGAAGATACAAAGGATTGTCTTCACCTCGCCTTTGTTCGGAGAGCTTATCAAAGTTAGTTGCTAGATAATCAAATTGTTTCTTTCTCCGTTAGCGAACATAGCTCGTAGTATAAGAATAGGAGCAAACGGATAATGCGAAAATTGTGTTGAGAGGTGTTCATCTTTCAAATGCACTCCTGTCGTGCCTTACGGCTATTGTTGACATAATCCGAGAACAGTACTAGGTCTTGACACTAATTGCGAAGGCAAGGGAAGGTCTACAATAACATCACTTAATGAATTAAACCAGTATAGGGCGCCACGATGCACGATTGATATTTGAGCAGCGAAATCCTAACTTATTTTGGTGAACTTGGTGGCTTAGTATGATGGGACGAAGTTGATATCACCAGGAGCCGGGTCTAGGGTAGGGAAATAAACCGAGTCGTACGACGGGAAATGCTCCCACTGTGGCAGTCACGTGAACGCCGCTGGTCACATTCTTGCCCACTAATTACCACGATGAGGGACAGTGGATGCCTCCATCATGACTTTCTCGCGATAGACAAACGGCCTGTCTGCTCCGAGTTCGACGGCTGAAACCACGGCGGAGGCAATTGGCGAGATTTCGGCTCCGCTACCCCGACCTGGCCTTATGAACCTGCTTTTGCCCTCTTCAAGGTCACAATGAGGCCGCCGCGAATCCTCTCGGCCCACCAGGCGGACCTGCGATGCCTCTTCCCGCGCACGGCTTGGCCCCTCTCGGTTTCCAATGCTATCGCTGTTCACAGTGCCCAGCGGTGTCGACGCTCCTTTTTCTCGGCCACAACCCCAATGAGGGCTCCCCGCGCGGCTACAGCGACGTACAATGCCGGCTTCTTCCTCTCTAATCGCCTCTTTGAGCGATCTGCCTGCCTCGATTTCGTTGTCACTTCTAAACGAGCGAGCCTGGCAACTGCGTCAACGACGACGGCAAGCACACGGACAGCCTCTTCCTCGAATATAAATGAAGAATCTACGCAGAACTTGTCAGAGCTTGCGCCTCACCGAAGGCGGCAGGCCCGCAAGCAGAAAGAGCAGGCAGAAAAGCCTCTGCCTCAAGATGCCTCGTCACAATTGACCACAGCAGCCGCAGCCCAACCCTCGAACTCCCTCCGACGAACCTTCTCCATCCTTCTATCCCTAACCAAGCCGCGACTTACCGTCCTCGTCGTTCTCTCTGCAATGGCGAGCTATGCGCTGTTCCCGGCATCCGAAATGCTCTCTCCCTCGCTGACCGAGACCCCGAGCTTGAGCCCTCTGACGCTCTTCTTCCTCACGGTGGGGACGGCGCTGTGCTCGAGCAGTGCTAATACCTTCAATATGCTCTACGAGTCGGACACCGACGCCAAGATGACGAGAACCCGGAACCGCCCTCTGGTACGGAAGCTCATCTCGACGCGGGGCGCAGTCCTCTTTGGAATCATCTCTGGCGCTATTGGCGTTGGGTCCCTCTATTTCGGTGTCAACCCCACAGTCTCAGCCCTCGGTTTCGCCAACATAATCCTGTACGCTGGAATATATACCCCAATGAAGAGAATGTCGGCACTGAATACGTGGGTGGGTGCCGTAGTAGGCGGCATCCCCCCACTCATGGGCTGGGCCGCCGCAGCCGGCGAGACGGCTACCGGGGATGGGTCGTGGCGTGAGCTCCTTCTTGCCAGCGACGGCTCGTCTATCGGCGGTTGGCTGATGGCCGGCCTTCTCTTCGCCTGGGAGTTCCCCCACTTCATGGCCCTGAGCTGGTCGATCCGCGAGGAGTACAAGGCGGCTGGCCTGCGTATGCTTGCCTGGACGAACCCCGCGCGGAATGGCCGCGTCGCTCTACGATATAGCTTCATATTCATCCCCCTTTGCTTGGGACTCTGCGCTGCCAATGTGACAAACTGGGGCTTTGCTGTTACGAGTTTGCCCATTAACTTGTGGCTATGCCGCGAGGCGGTCAACTTCTGGAAGAAACAGGGACACGGGGGTAGTGCTAGGGGGTTGTTCTGGGCAAGTGTATGGCACCTCCCTGTTGTCATGATCCTCGCCCTGCTCCACAAGAAGGGCATGTGGACCCGTGTTTGGAGGAGCGTGATGGGCGAGGACGTCGACGGTGAATGGGAAGAGGAAGAGTTGGAGGCGATGGCGAGCATGACTGCCGCAAAGGTGGCCGAGAAGACGGCAGACCTGAAACGTCCATAAATGTAGCGGACGGGCTCAACTGAGTTGCTACCCCCAACCACTCAACAGTTCTTTGGCTTTTTTCTTATTTACATGTATTCTATCTGTACGATGTAGTCATGGGTTTTCCTTCAAGTCACTGGTGTGGAGAGACGATTATATCCACTGTATCCTTTCATTCAAAAAGGTAGATGAGCATGGCGAGGGCGGGGAAAAAGACAAGACAGATGTCCATGATTGATTTAATTGCATAGAAAAACACATAGCATACGATAACTTTCCGAACCACGGGTAATCGCAACTTTATTCTGTATAGCGCTTCGCTTCCAACCTGCTTTTTTCGCCCATGCGTCTCAAGAACAGCCAAACTAACTCCCAATCTCGGTACGCCTTCAATGTGTCTATCTATCCCCCAATAAAGACTTCGTGTTTTCGTTCCGCACATTTTTTAAGCACTGCTTCTCCCTACCGTCCCCTCCATCAGTCCGGCTAATCCAAGCCAGCGAGGAGGAGAAATAAACTAGCGCTAAGAAAGCAAAAGGGGGAGGGGAATTTGCAGGCAAAATTAAAAAGGAGTGTTTCTTGATCTAGGTAGTATAAAATACCAGTATGGTGTAACCAAAAAAATTAATTAGGGCCCCCCTCTTCCTCGTGACGGGTTCGGGGATCAGGAAAACCCCCGGAGACGTCGACCCGGTTTTGTCAAAGGAGTGATGGTATGTGTATAAGGATTCATCCAGAACAATGGCAGCCAGTATTCGCCAGAAACTCCGTGTTGCTGAAGATGCAACTGAAAAGACAAGACAATAGAAAAAGACAAATAGAGAGGCGGGACAAAAGGGAATAAAGAAAAGAAATTGGAGATGCGGACAAAGGGGAATGACAATTGTAAACGACTTCATGACGCATCGACAGACGTAAGAAAGGAAACAAGAAATAAACAATAGGAAAGTTTAATAGACCAAGGAAAAATATGATAAAGGGAAAAAAAAACCTGGACAATGTGGTAAGTAGGTTTTGGATCTTAGCGATGAGACCGCGAGTACTGCTCCCCCCCCGGTGGGAAACAAAGCGAAAACGGTATTGACGACGGCAGTCTAGTGATGTCTTCTGCCGTTCGAGCTCGGTAACCGCTGATTGGCCATGTACGGGCTGGTATCGCTCTGGCTCCCGTTCCCGTTGTACCCATGTCCGGCGCTTGCTGTTGAGCTGACACTGGACGAGTAGCGGTGCTGGCTGGGAGCCATGTTACCGTAGCCGGGTTCCAGGCCAAACGGGCCCAGGTAGGCACCGCTGGGACCGGGACCGAGGGCTTGCATGGGCATGCTCGGGGCAGCCATGGCGGCGTGGGAGGAGGCGTGGAGGTGGCGGGACTGGCGTTGATGGCGCTGGTGGTGGTGGTAGTGCTGGTCGTCGGAGGAGGGGGAGGTGGTCTCAGGACTATTATAGGATGCGTCTATTTGATCAATGGGCGTCAGGCCGATTCCGGAAATGCCGCTGTCGTCGTCATACCCTGTAAGAGGTTGGCCAGAAGCGAGATGGTTCTGGCTTAGACGTTCATTGCGCGTTGCTGCGCGAGCAGCGCTCTGAAGGTTCTTGATGCCGCTGGACATGCACTGCCCATTGGGTGATTATGTGTCAGCGCCAGAGTCGAAAAAAGGGGAAAAGGGGGTGGGGATATGATGGGAGGTCTGCATACCTTTTGCTCGACAACTTGCCATTTCTCGCCGGTTCGTGCGGCGAGGGGAGCCCAGATCTCCCTGCGCATGGCAAGATACTCCTTGGCCATGCGCTGGAACTTCCTGTTGTCCCAGTCGTCGGCGTCCCGCCTCTCGGAGAGGCGCTCGTGGCGCTTGCGGCAGGCGTTGCCAGTCTTCTTGGGGAAGTAGAGCTCCTTGATCTGGGCCCAGTTCAGGCCCTGGGCCCTGGCGGCCAGGAGTTGGTGATCGTCACTCACCGACCAAGCACCAGAGCTGGGGCGGTGGGACTGAGGGAGGGGCATTGGGGGTGCGGCAGTGCCAGCGTAGACCTCCTCGTAGGATGGCCCAGGCATGGCAGGGGCTTGAGGGGGTCCAAGAGCCATGGAGGACGAGCCAGCAGCAGTGGTGGGAGGCATGGTGTAGTAGCCAGCGGGGGGAAGGGTCATGCGCTGCTGGTTGTACATGGGAGAAATAGGGGATAAGGGGGATGGCTCCAGCTCAACGGGGAGATGCTGAGGGTAGCTTTGTCGGCTACTCGAGCGAGTGTGTCTGGCCATGGTGGATAGGGTTGGAAGACGGTAAGCGGGTGGATGTGTGTATAATGATTTGAAACAGGTCAGACCCAACGAGAGGATCGGTTTGAAGTCCTAGGAAGCTGTGCCAGACAGCGTTCACTCTAGAGTCTCAAACGGAGTGCAACGTGATGATTAGACGAGTATGAAACTCAAAGAACAGGGAAGCTGGATTGGTCTTCCAAAATGGCCGAGGAAGGTGGTCACTCTGGGGATGGGCCCAATCAATCTGCCGGGGTATCGCTCTGAAAAAAACACCGAATCTGAACTAGGAGAAGAACAAAGACAGCATGAGAGTAGGAGATGATGAACCGGTTGACGGATAGGAAAGACAGAGGAAAGTATGACCAAGGAAATACTAGGAAAGAAACGAGACGAAAAAGGAAATGTTGATTGACTGGCTCTGAAGCAAGGAAGATGTGTTTGAGGAAGGGAAATGAAAACCTCCTGGCCGCGGACATCGGCCTGCTTTAAGGATGAAGAGTCCCATAGCTTCCAAGACGTCGAGGATAGGATATGGTCTATTCCGGTACATGCGTGCTTCAGCCCTTGAAACAGCATCCTAGAGCTCGATTGGGAAATGAAACGGTAACCGTGTGTCTAAAAGATTCAATCTCAGCAGAATGGGTCGACGATATTGGTCGCCAGAGGAAGAGGCCTGTGCCCGGGCGGCTAAGTGGACTGCTCCGGGTCGTGAACGACGGCGGCTACGACAACTTGCCCTTGTTGACCTGCTTCGAACTACTGTGGAGGAGGGGGGAAGGACGAAAGTGGAGGAACTCAGGTTAAGAGCCTGCCTGGGAGGGTCGAGATAGCGGCTAGCTGTCAAGGCGGGAGATGAAACGAGGCAGGTCTTGGGCTTGCCTGTACTCCCCACTGCGTCGTGTGGCATCGTGTATGTGCGCGTGTGTATGTGCGAGCCTCGTTCGAAACAAGCAAGCGATGGAACAGGCGCCATATGATCGACCGAAAAGCACGATGGGCTCCACCTGATCAAGAACACTTGATAACCTTTCGGATCGGGGCTGCTGCATGGAAGCGCGGAAAATACGTGGAAGGGTAAAAAAAGAGCAAAAAGGAAATGAGAGGGGATCTTTGCATTGCATTCTGCGTCTTGAGCAGCGGGATGGAGTGTCGAGATTGGACAAGAGGGCCTGGCGAGCTGGCGGTACCCAGCAAGGCTGCATCAGTAGCAGCAGACTGCCGCGGGCTTGCAGCAGAGGTTTCTCCGTACCAAGCTACCTCATGCAGAGCTTCCCGATGATGTCAAAAGGGAACCAGTCCTGTGCCAAGGGAAATGACCGTCCAGTGTGTGGTGTTGAGCGCAGCCGAGAAGCCTCAAGGAGGACGGCAGTCGTGAAAGGCTGCGGGCCGTGATTGGCCGGAGTGGGTCTAAAATCGGGCCTCCATTTCTAGAGGCGCGCGTTTAGACGAAATGGTACGTACCGGGGTACGTACCGCGATTCTGATTGGTGCCAGCCTTATGGACAGCCCTAAACAGGACTAGCCCATCTATTTCCAGATCCTTCAGTGGGTCCAGGGTTCCATCCCATTGGCGCTCGATGAAAACACCAGCGGCAGCTCAACATCGCCAGCTGTCAGTCTCGCTTTCCACAAGTAAGATGAAGCCGGGAGGGAAATACCCATGGCCAATTCCGACTTCGGCGCTTGCAATTCCAGGGGCCATGGCATTGCCTCTCATAAAGGCAGGTTGAGATATGCCATGTCGGTTTCCAGGTGGAGTCGGGTCTGAAATAAAGTAAAAGAGGTACGGCCCCCCTACGCAGCCAACAACCTTTGCTCTGCATATCATTCTCGCATGGTCTGGCTGGTCTGGTCTTTGCGTCATGTTGCTTCTGTGCCTCGTTGTGCGGCTCTGCGACAGCTACCGTCCGATTCTTGCTTCCTTTCCTTCCCCCTACCTCTCTGCCGTGTCTTGTTTTAGCTGATATGGAATTGCACATCAGCACACAATTCGGCTGGCTACGCGCTTAGCTAGCCTCGTCCTGCCTTGCATGAGATGATGACGGGCTGATGATGTCTGATCATTCCCCCCTTTCAGACCCTCTACCGCCATATCGTTGGTCAAGCTTGTAACGTCTATTGCATCGAGGCGTCGAGAATATTCTTGTCTTGCTTTATCTGTCATAACCGCCCCCTTTATACCCAATATGTCTATGCAGTCATACGCCCAACGTCTGATCCCGCATGAATGAACCAACAGCAGGATCTATGATACCCTATCCCAGCCCGTTTCGCCCCACCATGCACCGACCTCCGATCATATCTTTCCCATATCTTTCCCCATGACAGCCCAATGTCCGTGCCGCAAAAAACACACTCTGATGTCTCAAGCCATGGCGGCTATTAGTTCTGGGCCTTCCATCGCAGGATGGTCAGAGACCGCTTCGGGAAAGTGAAGGCGCCTTCACCATCCCACTCTGACTCCGTGATGCCCACCTCCTGCTTCTCGGCTGTGTTGACAACATCTAGCGCGCTGCCGCTCACGCTATGCACCTCGACCTGCGAGACGGCGCCGCGAATCTCTGTCTCAAAATCCTTCTCCTCATGGATGTTGACCACTGCCAGGCTGATCCACCCATCGTCACTAAGCGCCGCGCTCACATCCAGCCAGGGCGTGTTGACGGCGCTGCGGAGCCAGGCTGGGTGCGTGTCGCCCGTGTACTCGCCAGAGCGCAGGCCAACCGCCACAGAAGAGCCGCGCATGTACTTGCTGTAGAGGAGAAGCGGCCACCACGTCGTCTGCTTGACCAGGCCTTCGGGCGTGGTCATGAGGGGGGAGATGACATTGACAGACTGTGCAATGTTGGCCATCCCCACGTACTCGGCCTGGCGGATGAAGACATTGAGCCAGACGGCCACGGCCAAGGCGTCGGAGAGGTTATACCTAAAGAATAAGGTTAATCCTCGAGTCTTCTCCGCTTTCCCATATTTCCTTTTTGTCCTCCACTTGCCGTGGCCCACCAAGTGGTCAGCACGCAAAACCAAATAACTTACTTCTCTTCAGCTCCCTCCTCGCCCGGAGCACGGACCGGATCCCAAACATTCCACTCGTCGAAGCAAATCTTCTGCTTGCGAACGGTGGGCGGCACGTTGTTCTCAATACGAGCCAGGTCAATCAGGCTGGCACTGATCTGGATAGCTCGTTCCGCGGACCTCGGGGCTATTTCCACACACCGTTAGCTGGCCCCATCTTCAGGAAACTCCTGCTGCCGAGGGAACTCCGTACCTGTGACATTCTTCAGATGCTCGGAGCTAGCGGTGTAGATGTGGATGCTGTGCATGTCAATCAGGCTCGCCGTCGTGCTCCCGCCCAGCCCGTGCAGGTCGAACCGCACGCACTCCTTGAGCACGTATGCGTCCCACGAGCTGTGGCCCGTCTCCCCGCAGAGGACGAGTTCGATGGAGGGGTCGAGCAGCTTGAGGGCCTTTGCCCACTGGTAGGCCTTCTTTGCGTAGTCCTCCTTGGTCATCTGCTCGACCTGCCACGGGCCCCAGACCTCGTTGCCGAGAGCCCAGTACTTGACCTGAGAGGTTATTTGTGTCAGTATAGCATCGGATTGTGGCACGAAAATGCTACGCGTAGCACAGCATCTAGGTAAAGAAGATGGGTGAACTTGCCTTGTAGGGCTTCTCTCTGCCGTTCTTGCGACGGAGGTTGGCATAGTAGCTATTCCGATCCGAGTTGCAGTACTCGAGCCAGCCGAGGGCTACCACACATCTGCTTGTCAATACATCCAGTCCCAAGATTGGAAGCCTCGTGGGGGCCGTGAAATATGACTGACTAACCTTCGTCCAAAGTACCTAAATGCGTATAATAAGTTAGCAAGTTCCGAGCTCCCGACGAACCAACAGAGCAGCATCCTTGTTTTGGCCACTCCGCTGGAATCACAGCCCTACACTTACCGGTACCAAAGTTCAGGCAGAGATAAGGCTCGGTGCCAACAATTTCACACCACTTGAGGAATTCATCTGTGCCAATGGCATTCGACTCCGTGCCAATCCAGGCAAGTTCAGGCCTACCAAGGTCATGGTCAGTAAAACCCCCAGAAACCGGCTTTAATCCTCCCCCCTGCTCATCGGGAATGCGATTTGCTTTCAATGTTTATTGCAACTTTATCCCAAACAACGACAACGGCATTGTAGAACGCCGAGATCTGAGAAATGCAAACCGGTCAAAGATAAGCTCATCTCACCTGCCAGGGCGATTTTCCCGGGGACCAACACCGTCGATCCAGTGATACGTCGCACAGAAGTTGCCGCCGGGATAGCGAACGACCGGGACGCGGAGCTCCCTCATGGCCTCAATGACATCCTTGCGGAAGCCGTGCTCGTCCGAGAGGGGGTTGCCGGGGTCGTAGAGACCACCGTAGATGCACCTGCCCATGTGCCTGGGTTTGGATGGTAAGCCATTGCGTTCATGAAGCCGGCAGAGCAAATCGAATACATGGGGAGGGCAAGGGGAGTGTGGGGGTTTTTGGCTTGGGACGAGGGAGGGGGTTCTGGGCTGGGGTTGTGGCGAGTTGATGAAGACAGGGTGTGATTGAAGGCTTGAGATGAGTTGCGAGGGTGTGAGGGGTAAGTGGTCAGTTTTTGCGTACTCTGTGAAGCCACCGTAGACATTGTCTTCGATCCTGGCAATAGTCAGACTGGGGTCGATCGAGATGGAAGGGCGCTCGTCGTCGCCGATTTTGGTGTAGGAGGTCATGGCTGCTTTGGCCTGGATTGGCTGGTTTCACAGTGGACAGGTGAGCTGGTAAACCCAGACGTCCTTTCAACTCGGCCAAGATAGAAGCTGCAGTGGCGGAAGAAGAGGGGAGGAGGTGAGAGTTGCGAGATGCAGAGAAGATGTAACAAGGGGAGAGGAGAGACTCCAGATGCGGACTGTATTGAAGGACGGGAGGATTAATGAGAAATTGGGGACTGGCAGCAGCAGGTCGTGTTTTCAATCCTCGCCGCTTGTCCACTTAATCTGCAGCTTGGCTCATTCATGTCATGTCATATCATATCGCCCGCCCTCGAGCCGCGACCACTCGTACTTCACCTCCAACTGCGTATCACGACGACCAGACGAAACCGCGCCCCCGCCGAAAAAGCGGCGCTCAGAACGGGTCCCCGGAGGACACTCGCCTCTTGCAAGCTGCGTCTCTCGCCTCTGGTTTGCGCGCTCTTGCACCGTGAGGTCCCACCGCCAGAGGCGTCACCGTGTGATTGGGGCGCTTCCAGGACAGCCCAGGCCCCGTCTCTTCACCACGAGACCATCTCTCCCCCCTCACCCACCAGATGGGAAATGCCCCGTCCCAACCCCCGGAAAGCTTGGCGCCACTCATGGCAGCTCGCCAAACCGGGCCTGGTCTCCGGCTGGGGCCCCGGTCCAGTTTCGGGGTCCCCAAAGCATCGAGTTGGCGCGGGAGCATGTCACCGTCACTCGGTATACAGATGCCCCGGTCTGGGTCTGAGGCCAAGGGAGAATTAGATGCCGAGCATGGTGCCCTTGGGAAGCGTGCAATGGGAGTGGTCAATTCGGGCGCAGGTGATGGAGAAACGAGACGAGCTTCCCAGAACAGACGAGCCCTTCCCGGCCGGCTGGAATCAGATATAAGTTGTGATCTTCCCCCTCCTCAAGTGCAACGCTGTTCTGAAACCGCAGCATTCTTCTTTTCTTGGTTTCCCCAACTCAGAGGAGAAAGACAATCCACCATGGCTCTCAGCCCAAAGGTATACCAGTTTCTGGTATGCGTCTTCGCATCCATCGGGTCTCTGCTCTACGGCTATGATCTCGGTGTTATTGCCTCGGCCATTGCGTCTCCCGACTTCATCTCGAGGTTTGGAGACGACTCCAAAGAGATGTACGTTCCTCATCTGCATTCCTCACCGTGTAGACAGAGCCCAGCTAACCATCACAAAGCGGAGCTGTCGTATCGGCCTTTACAGGAGGAGCCTTCATCGGCGCCATGCTCGCTGGTCCTACCAGTGACAGACTTGGTCGCAAATGGACAATCATGATCGGTGCCCTCATCTTCTGCCTCGGCGGTGGTCTGCAGACCGGTGCCCGGACCATCAACTACCTCTACTCTGGCCGCGCCTTCGCTGGTGTCGGTGTCGGCTTCACCACCATGATTGTCCCTGTCTATCAGGCTGAGCTGTGCCACCCCAGCATCCGTGGTCTTGTCACTGGTCTGCAGCAGTTCATGCTGGGCATTGGTGCTTTGTGCGCTGCCTGGATCTCATGGGGTATGTCTCAAGTCAAATTTACAACTGATCGTTTTCAATACTGACAAGACTACATACAGGTACTTACATTAGCTTCCACGATGCAAGGCAGTGGCAGGTTTCTCTGGGTATCCAAATTATCCCCGGTGCCATCCTCGGTCTTCTCATTCTCCTCTTCCCCGAGTCTCCCCGCTGGCTGATCGCCCACGGAAAGGAAGCAGAGGGACTGAGGATCCTCGCCAGCCTCCACGCCGCAGGCGACGAGACCGACGCCTTCGTCCGCGCCGAATTCTCCCAAGTCCAGGAGAGCATCGCCATCGACAGGGAGCAGGCCGCCGGGAGCTACATGGAGCTCTTCAAGGACAAGAGCTGCCTGCGCCGCCTCTTCCTCGCCTGCGCCATGCAGGCCAGCACCCAGATGACCGGCGTGAGCGCCATCCAGTACTACTCGGTCAAGATCTACGCCAAGATCGGCATCTCGGCCGACGACTCCCTCAAGTACCAGGCCATCTCCAGCGTGTTGGCCCTCGTCGCCCAGTTCCTCTGCATGATGTTCATCGACAGGTTCGGCCGCCGCTGGCCCCTCATCATCGGCAACGTCGGGAACGGAATCACCTTCATCATCGCCACCATCCTCCTCGCCAAGTATCCTCCCGGCTCCACGGAGGTCGGCGCCGGCGCGGCCGCGTGGGGATTCATCGTCGTCACCTGGCTGTACAACTTCTGCTTCAGCGCCACCAGCGGCCCTCTCTCCTGGATCATTCCCGCCGAGATCTTCGACACCAAGACCCGAAGCAAGGGCGTGTCCATCGGCTGCATGACCTCGTTCGCCTTCAACACCATGATAGGCCAGACCACGTCCATCGCTCTCGACGACAAGGGCGGAATCGGCTGGCGCTGGTACATCCTCTTTATTGTAAGTTCCCTCCCCCACGCCCCTTTGCAAAATAGTAGCTTCAGTGATACTAACGAGCCACAGGTCTGTAACTTCACCAACGCCATCTTCTTCTGGGCCTTCCTCCCCGAGACCGCCAAGCGACCTCTTGAGGAGATGCGATATCTTTTCACCGAGGCTCCCTGGTTCGTCCCCACCATGGACATGTCCAAGTTCAGGACCGGCGAGGCTCTCGAGAGGCGGGTCGAGGAGGTTGCTAATAAGGAAGTGGCGTAAAGAGGTTTCACCAGTTTGTGATGGCGGGCTTTGTCTTGCCATGGGAGAATACATAGATACCCTAGGAGTTAGTATAATCCAACTGTATCCAGAAGCCGTGATCCACACCCAGATACGTAGCAAACACCAAGCAACCGTAGGTAGGAAATCAACAATAACCACACTTCTGGAAAGTCTGTCACGATGTATATATGAATAAACTATCAAGGCCCCTCCTAACGCCACGCTTGCTGAATGTTCCCCAGACAAAAAAAGGGGGAAGCTCCATCACCAACCCAATCATCAAGTCTCCGTCATCTCGTCACTGATAATCTCCCTCGAAAACCGCGACACCAAGTCCCCCATTTGATTAAAGACACCGTGCTCTACCCAGAAATGACCCGCGCCGCTAATCTCCTCGCCTCGGAACCGCGAGCCCTCCGCGCCCTGCATGCGCTCCACCCACCCGCGCAGCTTCCCAACCGGAACAAAAACATCGTGGTCGCCATAAATAGCCAGGGTGGGATTGTGTCGCAGCTTGCCCTCCGCAAGCGAGCTGCCGGGGGCGCGCGACATGGTTGCGAGATTCGAGATGAGCCCCTGGAGGGGGGAGATCAAGAGGTAGGCTGCAGACGGTCTGAGGAGATCTGGAAGCGACTGCAACGTAGCATCCTCTGCGGGCGCCTCTGCAGCTGGAGAGCCTGGGGCAGACCGAGGAGGGTCGGTTTTCCCGTCAATGGCAGACGCTGGAGCAGCAAGGTGGTGGTGGTGCCGCGTTTTGGCGATGAAGTCCTGGACGCCCTTGCGCAGCTTCTCCTCGGCGTCGTCGAGGGAGAAGCTCCTCCGGCTGTCGTGGCTCTTCCGGGGGCTACTGCACTCTCCGACTCTGAGGCTGCGTCTCCCGGAGTACATTTGCAGGAGTTCTCTCTGTTGGGTGCCCAAGCTCTCGGCTCGTGTTCGGAGCAGACCGGGGGTCGACGTGATCGATGGGGATGTGAACTGGGCAAGAATGGAGGAGAGCGGAGGGATCTGCGCCGTGATCATGGCTCCGTACGAATACCCTCCCATCAGGAGGGTAGGACTGCCGGGATTATGCGGTCTCGACTCATGGTTGTCGAGGTAATGTATATAGTAGGTGAGAAACCCAACAAGGGTCGTGTAGTCTTCACGTTCGGGCTTCGCAGACCATGATGTACGGCCTTCCGAGTTCGCAGCTCCTCTGTCCACCCAAATAGTTAGCAATGAGACATCTCTAGGCAATTGAGTAACTTCAACATGGCAAGACCAAAGGCCTGGGCAGGTGTGGCTGACCTGAAATTGAATGTCGCGACAACGAAGCCAGCGCGTACTAGATGCGCCGCCACATCCTCCACCACCGGGTCATCGTAGCTCCCCCCAAGAGGCGCGTAGGGATGGCCCAGTACGGCGGCATGTTTGGGGCGCCATCCGGCAGTCGAGTTGGATGCCGCGAGGCCAAGAGGGTGGTAGATGCGGCAGTTGAGAGTGAGGTTGTCGTGTAGGCTCGGCAGGGTAAATGTCAGGGCGGGGTCGGGCAGATGCATCGCTTCAGTGTCTGTAGCATGATGGGATCACTCCTGGCAATTGACGGGACTGGGAGGAGACGGCCGAGGTTTTGTGGTTTCGCTGAACGGATGTTGGAGTTTGCCCCAAAACTCCGGAAGGCAACAGAGTAGAAGTTGTTGCAAGCTTATCGCTTTCGGTTGGGGAGTGGGACAAGGGAAAAAGGAATGCGACGTCATTTTAGGCTCCTTATCGGGCACCTAATTACAGTTGGTATCTCGGGTTGGGTCGGCATAGCTCTCACACACAAAGTAAACTCGCTTGTGATAAGCAATGGGCATGTGATAGTCGACAAGATCTTTTGATCCCTATCGTGGAATTTCTGCCATGTGCTACTGCTCACTATGCTTCACTGCTGCTGATAAAACATAGGGCTGAAACGAAGCTCAAGGGCGATAGTGTGTTGTCAAAGGTTACCTATGCAATTGATTTTTTTGAACTTTTTTTTTCAATTCTCTAATTTTCGTAATCTTACCCCTTGTATTATATCTAGTAAGTATGACATGGCAAAAGTTTCATTACATTTCTCTTCGTACCCAGCTCTTCATTGGCTCTTCTTCTCTTTGGCCTCCTGGGCCCTTTGTTTCCGTGCTTGGAGCAGCCTCTTGATCTCCTTAATGGCCCCCATCACGAGCGGTACTGTTACTGGTCCCAGAAGCGGGAGATAGACGGCAATCTTGTGCTCGTCAGGGAAGTAAAGCTGCCCGACCATGCTCTTCTCGAAGAAAGCTCTCTCAGCCTCCTCCTCGGCGATTCGGGCATGGTATAGAGCCTCAGAGCCACCAAGGCTGGCACATGCTTCTTCCAGATGCTGAAGACTCTTGGCGACACCGTCGGCAACGTTGCGAGGGATGGCGATCGAAGAGAGCGACCGCGAAAGGCGCGCGAGCGAGCCAAGGGTGTCGGAGGCACGGAGTAGAAGGTCAGCGGATCGAATGCGGGATAGAGAGGACAGTCGGAGTGGGAGGGAGCCAGACTGGGGCGTTCCAAGGAGTGTGAGCAGATGACCACCAAAGGTGAGCATTGGCTGGCGGAGTGCATCCTTGGGGACATGATTGTTGGTGTCGGGTTGAGAGAGCAAGTACACAGTACCCCACTGAGGAATCATCCAGGATTGTGATGTCTGGCCCTCGGAATCGGGGAAGCCAATCGTCTGGTTGCCGATAAAGGTAAGGAAGTTGATGGTCGGGGCACCGCCGATCGATGGGGACAGAGGCCATTCGGCTGCGTTGATGAAAGATGCTAGATCGTCCATGGTTAAGGTCTGTGACTGCACGCCAGGTGTAGCATAAAGCTGGACCTGGGTGTCGATTGTGAAATTGTGAATCGGCCCAAGCACATCCAGCAATGGCTTCATATATTCGTTGATTGCGGTATCGATATCCCAGGTGGTAGGTGTAGGTCCGTCAGTGAAGAGGGAGAAGGTCAAGTGATAGGTAGGCGCATATCGGAGAGCGCGGGTTGCCCTCTTCTCCAAAGCTTCAACAACGGCAGGGCTCAGACCGGCTGGTTTCGAGGTCGGGGACGAGGGAGAAGCGGACAAAAGGTAAGAAACGATGGCCTGCTCCTCCGCGAACGTGGACCGGAGTTCGGTTGCAATGTATGTTGTAAGCATGGACGAGGCGGAATGAAGCGGGGGCACGCTGTTCAGAGGGTATGTGATATCTAGGGCGGCGCGATAGGGATCGAGTGCGGCAGTCGTGGCATCACCGGGCTTCAAGTGAATGGATAGTGCGGACTTGGGGTCGTGTTCGCCTTCGCGGGGACGGTCCTGCCTGGGGGCAAGCTGGAGGCGCAGGTGATGGCCAGAGAAGTCGTTGAGATCGTCAATGGCATGCTGGGCCAGTCGAACGAGATGGTTGGCTTCTTCTTCCTGGAGAGAATCGGCATGGACGGCGATTTGGATGGGGATGGCGGGTCGGCAGGCCTAGCACGAGGGGAAGAGAACGGTCAGCTACGAGGGAGCTGTTGGATTGAGTGGCGCCTACCTTTCCATCTGCCCACTCTAGCATGCGATCCACTGGCAGGTCGGCGCGATAGATGGTCGTGGTCTTCCACCAGAATGGTATACCCAGAAAGACAACGAGCAGCCAGAAGGACAGGACGATGTAGCTTCGGCGGCAGATGGCCGTGGGCGTCTCTGGGGGAGGGGCCTTGATGGCGGAAGTGGCGGGAGCAGGAGACTCGGATGCGGCAGCGGACGATGCAGTGTCCTTCTGCGTCGGTCCTGATGGCGGAGGAGCCATCGCGCGCACGTATGGGACGAGGATCGTCAACGGGGGAACGAACGAGCGGTTGGTGATGGTGGGAGCTTATCTGGGAGAAGTGTCCATTTTCCCCAGGCGATGGAATTCTACGCGACACACGCCCCTTGACCAAGAATCAGCCTGGCGCCAGTGCCACAGGCCAGCTTGAGCCCTACAGCAACTAACTCACAGGCCTGAACCCACCTGGAGGATCCCTAGACCCCACCAGGCGCCAATTAAGTTTAGCGCCCGGGCCCCCCCCTCAGGGGTATAACCAGGTACCAACTGATATTTAGGGTGGGCTTGGTTCCAGTCCCTTTGGATCTGACACGCAGAAAACTGCCCGTCTTTCTTATTCATTGCACAGCCGACTCCTATCATCTCGGAATACTGTCTTACACTCTAGAGGACTTCCAAATTCCCTGTATATGAGTTCGATATATGTAAGGGATCCTCGCTGTGTAAGCACACCATTACTGCAGCAACCGTGTAACTAAGTAGAAGCCTAGCAGGCTGCAATATAATAAATCAACAATCGACATGACTTGGCATTGATCTGATAATTAGATTGGTTAGAAGGAAACCCAAAATCTCACCGCTCCATTTCAAGTGCACCTAGATTCAGGCAGCAATATTCTGGGTATTTGATTATATACTCCCATAGTGTGCCACCGTCTCACATCTAAACGACCCAAGCATTCAACTATCCTCTCAATGCTAGAAACGATGGATCAATATATTCTAGACAATGTCGACCGCTTTCACAAGCTGGTTCAAAGATGGAAACCCCAGCCAGCCTCAAAGCAGAGATCTTCGGCACAGGGATCTACCGAGTCGAATCCCAACATGATTGTGGCAGCTCGGCTTAGAGTCTTGCTCAAAGAAGAACTTGACCTTGGCCTACCTCAGGCTGTCTTTCCTAGGCCCTCAGCTCCGGGCGTGCTGGATATACACGAGCTGAAAAGACCGGTTCGAGGACTGGCCGAGCTCCGGGTATAGACGCCCTACCTTTTCTCCCCCAGTTCTTCCTTAAACAGATCTGTTTTACTAACGGCCTCTTGGGCAGTCGGCAGATTTTCGCGTTGATCGTGCATATGGACCTGATTCTACTACTGAAGAAATATACACCGATATCGTGAAGCCATTGGTGCCTTGGGCACAGAACGGGGGCATTGGCACACTCTTTGCCTACGGCCAGACAGGCTCGGGCAAGACGTATACGGTGAGCCGGCTTGAGAAAATGGTCGCGGATGAATTGCTGGGAGGCGATCACAGCGAAAAACGAACGATTACAATGGCTATGCTTGAGCTCGCGGGCAATGCAGCATACGGCAAGTCTTGAAAGAGAAACCCAGACGGTTTTGGCATTCCACAATTCTAACCAGTGATTCCCTACAGACCTGCTCAACAAGCGTGGACCTGTCTCTATCCGTGAGGATGCCTTTGGCGTCATCCAGCTCAGCGGCGCCCTCGAGCACCGCGTCTCAACCACCAGCGAGATGCTATCCTTTATTGAAACAGCTACGGCGCTGCGCCGCACAGAGGCTACGGAGAAGAACGACGCCTCGTCGCGGTCACACGCCATATGCAGAATTCGCATTCAGCAAAAGCCCGACGCCCCAGATGATGACGCAGACGGGATGCTCTACCTCGTCGATCTCGCGGGATCCGAGGCGGCCAGAGATACCACGAATCACGACGCACAGCGGATGCGCGAGACTCGTGAAATCAACGCCAGTCTCTCGGTGCTGAAAGACTGTATCAGAGGCAAAGCCGAGGCGGACACGGCCGCTGCGGATGCGTCGTCCAAACGGAAGCCTCACGTCCCGTTTCGCCAAACGCCCTTGACCAAGATCTTGAAGCACGTCTTTGACCCGGCGGCTCTCCGGAATTGCAAGACTGTCGTCATCGCTTGTGTGAATCCGTGTATTTTAGACTCGGTGCCGAGCAGGAACACACTGCGGTACGCGGAGACATTGAGAGTGATTGTGCCCAAGGTCGTCGAGATCAAGTATGATGCCAAAGTTCCCAGAACGTGGGATAATAAGCAACTGAGATCATGGGTACGAAGCAATGTGAGTTGATCTACCATCCTTTGTCGCTAGACACTGTCGGGACTTTTCCTCTGCCTCTCCGTTTTAAAGCTGAACAAGTGATGTAGTCTGGCTCACCTCCTGTCGACGCTTCACTACTCGCGCCTTCAGAAACGGGAATTCAGCTTCTGCGCCTCGACCCATCAGAATTCCAGGATCGATGTGTTCAGACTCCCGGCGTGACCGCTCAGCAGGCCATGCTGTTCTACAACAAGGTTTGGGAAATGCATATCGACTCACAGCGAAACCGGCAGCTGCCGTCAAAATCAAAATCAAAAGCCGTGGTTGTCCCAACTGCCGGAAGCCGTCCGACTGCCGCGTCAGATGCGCTCGAACAGGGTTCTAGTCGAGATATCAGCACAGGGGCATCTTCAATCCATTTCAAAGAACGGATTCGTCCCGGGATGGTGGTCTCGTGGTCACCGCCCCCTGAACTTGCTGAGACTCTGTCAGACAGCAAAGCCTTCGCCCTCATTCTCTGTCCCGCGTCTGCCGCCGGACCGCATGCACGGGATTACCAAGGCAGTCCTGTCCAAGCCGAGCCGGGCCAGAATGGAGGCGATTCTGCAAGTTACCTATGCGCTCTTGTCATGGCGAAGACCCACTCCGAGACGTATGAGATGAATTTGTGGCGACAGGTCGTCGTTCAAGTTGGCCAGATGACTGGCGAGGTTATTCTAAAGTATGACACTGCCGCTAGGAGCTGGCTCAACCATGACTCCGATGTAGATTAGATGGAAAGCCTTGATGTGCAATGTCGAAATCGGGAGGTCCTCTTGGTATCACTTACATTCTTTAATCAAGCTTACAGTATCTTTTGTTGGCGAATCCACCATCCTCTATAATCCGCAGTAAAGCAGGTTTCATGGCACCACGAATAATCAAACCACTCGCTGTCTAGGACAAAATCTCTGAACCGAGACACCGAAATCCGCGTATTACACGAAAGGTGGCCGGCGTGCAAGCTCCATGGCTGTACAGGAGCTACCTGCTGGCGCTTGACAAAGTGATTGAAGTGACTTCATCTACACTGAAAATAAATAGATAGGTGTATATAATAAGCATATATCAGACCTTTTGCTCAAGGACGAGCATGTAGAAAGGGCGAGAGACACCTAGATTTAGTAAGAGCCTATTGATTGTGGAACCGGTGTATGCTCTTCATTTCATAATTCAACAAGATATGGCCAAAATTTGGATGATTGGAACATACCAAGAGCAAAACATGGACTACAACAATGTCAACATACCCATAATCGGCACGCTTAAGCGGTGTTTCAAGTCGACGAAGACAATCTACTGTGATTGAGATCGGATTGTCCCTGCCGGCATAAGCTTCTTCTGCGTACTTATTATTCCCTCATTATCATAACAGGACAGGCGCTCTTTTTGGATTCTGTCAATCTGACACTACTTCTCACAAATTTACAAAGCAACAGACGGAGTAAGCATTTCGGTTTACCAATCATTTCGCTTTTAATGCAGATGCAAGGCAGTGTCACGTGTCGATGTTCCCCGCCCAAGCCTCATCTCACCAGCATCATTGCAAATTTTGACGAGATAATCTAATGGTAAGCATATGCTTGGAGCACGAAATCAACGCAAGCAACTTGGATTATCTTCCAGAAGAACTTCGAGTTACTGGATCATGTCGAGCGCTCTCTCTCTACAACAGAGGGACCCTCCGGTGTCATCTGCCACAATGTTACCTGCCCCCAAAGAGAATCGACGCCTAACATGGAGAATTCGCGGCGTACCCAAAGATTTCGACAAGCGAAGGCTGGCCGAAGAGGTACAGCAGCATCTACAATTGCAACACGCGAACAACTCTAGCGAAAGCGCACAGGAGAAGGGGGACATTGGTATAAGAATCCATTCCCTGGCGCCCGACCTCAATCACTCCCAGGTAGCAACCGCCTCTTTTGGAACGCTTCCGCCACAGCTACGCAATCCTGGGATCGAAACACAACTGTCAATCGAATTGCCGATCTACCCCCCAAAAATGAATAATAGACTCAAACGGAAACGAGAACCCTCCCAGATGGTCAAGATTACGATCGATAACCACTTCCACGGACTTACCGTACTCTTTTCGCCATCCGAAGAGGATCACCAGCTTGATATTGTTGCAGTCTCTGGCCTAGGGTCCAATGCGTTCGGATCGTTTATGAATAAAGATAAAGAGGATGAAAATATGTGGTTACGTGACCAGCTGCCGGGGGACATACCTCATGCTCGGGTCATCATATTTGGCTATCAGAGCAAAGTGAAAGACAGTACTAGTTTTGCCGAACTCGGTGATCTCGCTGGGCAGCTTCAGAGAGAATTGACTCGGGTAATACAGACTAACAAGCCAAACCGAGTTGTCCTTGCGGGTCACAGTCTTGGCGGGCTTCTGATAAAGGAGGCACTAATTCAAATTGCCGACTCTCCTCAAGAAAAGGAACTTATACCTTGTATCCAAGGACTAGTTTTCTTTGGGGTTCCAAACGACGGGATGAAGATCGAATCTCTCATTCCCATCGTAACCAATCAGCCTAACCTGCCACTCGTTTTATCGTTAGGCAACACAAACTCCCAGATTTTAACCTGTCAGAAGAGAAACTTTTCAAAGATTCTTGACAAGTGTGAAATCGATATCAGGTGCTTCTATGAGTTGTCCACGTCGCCAACTGCTGAAAAGGTTGGTATTTTACATCTTGAGGGTTGGGACTTTGGCTGACGAATAATAAATGTGAAGCAGACGAACGGGGAATATAAAATGACAGGGCCTCTGGAATGCCTCGTGAGCCGTGCTTCGGCGACGAGTTGTCTGCCTGCGTCCACTTCCACCAATTGTTCTATCGGGCTTAACAAGAATCATTCAAATCTTGTGAAATTCGCTACCCACGACCATGATTTTGACATAGTCCGGGATGTGCTCAGGCAAGTGTGCCAGCCCTCTCCATATTCAAGAGAGAAGCCTCAAGAGCCTGAAACCCAAAGTTTGTTTGTGATATGAGCAACGATTCGCATGTCTATTACTAACATCAACAGGCCAAGCTCAGGTTAAGTCCTGCCTTAAAGAACTGGGATGGACAAATCCCCATGACGACCGAGAACGAATCAAGGACACTAAGGGTGGCCTCTGTAATGGTTCATTTCGTTGGATTCTGAAACACAGAGATTTCAATTTGTGGAGAGATGACAATCGAAGCAGACTACTCTGGATCAAAGGCGATGCTGGAAAGGGCAAAACGATGCTCTTGATTGGGATATCAGAAGAGCTTGGTCGCCATCGCCATTCTCACTCTGCAGTGTCATTCTTCTTCTGCCAAAATTCCGATCGTCGTCTAAACAATTCCGTTGCAATTTTAAAGGGGCTGATTTATCTGCTGCTTCTCCAGGAGAGCCAGCTTATTTCACATTTAAAGGACGAGTGTGATCTAACCGATAGGAGTATTTTCGAGGGATCAAACGCTTTCTACGTCTTGTCGAGGATATTTCGGCAAATGATTCAGGATCAAAGCCTCTGTATTCCAAGACGAAAAACACTGTTCCTGGCCGTTGATGCACTTGACGAGTGCGAGTCAGAGCTGAGTGAGTTTTGTCGACTCATTTCTGAGACAATGAGACAGTCATCTGCCCGTCTTAAGTGGATTGTATCAAGCAGAATCGAAACAAGAATCGAGCAGTGGCTTGCACCTAGTGAAAAGGTGTGCCTGGATCTTGAGGGGAACGCCGATCTTGTTTCACAAGCTGTTCGAGTTTACATCCATTGGAAAGTATCGACTATAAAATTGCTACAGCGCAAGGAAGACTTCGGATTACGAGGACTCGTGAAGAGCGCTTTGTACAAGAAGGCAGGCGACACCTTCCTATGGGTAGCTCTCGTCGTCCAAGAGCTCCTCGCAGTCGAGAATAAATCCGAAATTCTGGATGTTCTCGAAGAATTTCCGGACGGACTGGATCAAATATACGAGAGAATGCTGAAACAAATATCAGAGCAAAAGAGAAAAGGCCCTGAAATGTGTCGGCGCATCCTATCCGCAACAGTCTTTGCATACCGGCCGCTCCATTTACACGAGTTACACGCTCTTTCTAGGCTTGAGGAGTATAATTTAAAACCCCATGATGTAAAAAGAATGGTACGCTTGTGTCGTTCGTTCTTGACCGTCAAAAAGGACCATGTTTATCCCATACACCAGTCGGCCAAAGACTTCCTAACAGCCACATCTCTCAGAAACAGTTTTCCTTGTAAACCAGAGAGAGCCCATTATGACCTATTCCGAAGGTCTATAGAAGTCATGGGAGGTGTTCTGAAGCGGGACATCTACAATCTACTTTTTCCCGGAATCACAATCGACAAGATCAGTCCACCAGATCCGAACCCTTTGAAAGAAGTAGAGTACTCCTGCGTTTATTGGATAAATCATTACTGCGACTTTTATAAAGCCTATATGTGTACGGCCGCACAAAACATTCCTAGCGACAGCGCAATTATTGTCCAATTTCTCCAGGAATTTCTACTCAACTGGTTTGAAGCATTGAGCCTATTGCATCGCCTTGACGACGGAGTTCGCTCAATAAGAAGGCTTGAGCAGCTTCTAGAAGTAAGTATTTAATAAGTGTGAATGATATTGTTAAGTAGCCAAATTAACCAGTGACAGGAACACAAAGAACCATCCTCGCGACAACTCAGTGCGCTCGTTTATGAGTGTCGACGTTTCCTTGTCCAGAATAAATGGATGATTGAGAAAGCTCCACTGCAGACGTACGTTTCCGCTCTCTTATTTAGCCCAAGCGAGAGCAACATACGTAAAATTTTCCGGAACGAAGAGCCGAACTGGATAGGAATCAAACCCAGAGTTGAGAACAAATGGAGCCGATGCCTCCAGACTTTACAAGGCCACGAAGGTGCGGTTTGCGCTATTGCGTTCTCCTGTGATTCGAGACTGCTGGCTTCTGGATCTGATGATTTCACAATCCGGCTCTGGGATCCAGAGACAGGCGCAGAACTACATAGATTGATTGGCCACAAGAAGCGGATTCACTGTATCGCCTTCTCGTGGTATAAACCAAATCTGTTGGCCTCTGCATCTTCTGATGGCACGATCCGCCTTTGGGATCTGGAGACAGGCACAGAGTTGAAGAAGCTGCAATCCGCTGGGAGCTGTGCTACCTCTGTCATTTTCTCACGGAGAAATTTAAATGGTCTAGCATCAGGGTCAGATTATAAGACTGTCCGGCTTTGGGACCTGGAGACAGGATTAGAAATACTGAGGTTAAATGGCCATACAGGCTTCATATTATCAGTCGCCTTCTCAAATCATAACACAAACTTGTTAGCTTCCGGATCTTCTGACGGGTCAGTCCGGGTCTGGGATCTAGACCAAGGATCTACGCTACACGTGCTGAGGGGCCACGGGGATTGGGTCAAATCTGTTGCCTTCTCGGACAGTTCCGAAGTGTTGGCTTCTGCATCTGACGATCATACGATCCGACTCTGGGATTCTAAAACAGGCTCGGCATTGAGAACCCTAGAGGGCCATAGCGATCACGTTCAGACGATTTTCTTCTCAGATAATTCGCATATTTTAGCTTCTGGGTCGGATGATAAGACTGTCCGCCTCTGGGACACCAAGACAGGATTAGAGCTACAGAAGCTAGAGGGCCATGATAACAACATCGGATCTGTTGCATTCTACAATAACTCGAAAGCGTTGGCTTCTGGGTCTAATGATTGCACGATTCGACTCTGGGATCTAGAGCCAGCCTCAGAACCAGAGAAGTCAGCGGGGCACGAAAGCAAGGTTGATGTTGTTGCATTTTCACATGATGCTAAGATTTTAGCTTCTGGATCTCATGATGGCACAACCCGTCTTTGTGACCCAAATACAGGATCAGAGCTTTGCGTATTATTTGGCTACACGGTCAGAGTTACGTTTGCTGCCTTCTCACGTGATTCAAAAATGCTCGCCACTGCATCTTTGCTTGGGGTAGTCATGATTTGGGACCTAGAGACAGGTTTGGAGTTGCCCAGCTTTGATGACTATCGTGCGCCAGTTGCGTTCTCATACAATTCAAAACTACTTGCCTCGGGGTCCGAAGATGGAACAATCCAGATCTGGGACCTGGAGAACGGCTCAAGGCTACACAGATTAGATGGATCTGACGTATGGGGCGTATCAATAATTTTTAAGTCGGTTTCTTTTTCACTTGATTCAAAGCTTCTTGTCTCTGGATCGTATGATGGAACAGTCCGGATCTGGGATCCAGTGAAGGGCTCAATGCTGCACGATCTGTATTTTGAGGGCGGGTCAACTCGGTCTGTTTCCTTTTCACTTGACTCAAAGCTGCTAGGTGTTGAATTTTATGAGGGACCAGTTCAGCTTTGGAATGCGGAGACGGGCACGGTCTCAGAGTCCTCCCAAGCTACACGCCTACATCAGATCCAAGGATTCCAAAAATCTTTATTGACCCTGGACGACGATGTCTCACGCATCAGTTTCATGGGGCGCGACATCATATGGCTCCCTCCAGGCTATCGTCCTTTTAAATTTGGTGCCACGACAAGTGCCGAAACCCTGGAAAGTGAGCCCGCGATGGCTAAGATGGCTCTGTCGACGCCGTCAGGTGCAACTGTTGTCATTGGAGTTTTGGTTTCAGAGCTATCAGCCGTATTACAGGTGCCGACCCCGACAGGAAGAGAGCGAAGTTGATCACAGCATATTCATATCTCACCCTAGTTTCTTTTCTTGTTCTAGAAGAGGGTGTGAGCTAGTAAGGGGGCTAATAGCAAAACAGTCATTGCTCTGCCATGATGCATTTCGCCGTGAGGATCATGTCTGAGACTTGTGTAGAGTAATACAGATGCATAAAATTAATACACAGCCGGCGTGACTTCAAGCGGCAATGAAACCAATCCCGGTTCGTGCCCTCCCGACGGTAAGACATTTATCGGACAATCAATAGAATCAAATCTTTGATTCTTTAAATCTACAAGTGACAACGCACAAGCCAATGCCCCGTGTGTCTCTGTTTGCCGTCAGTCATGTGAGGTGTTGCTACATGTCGGTGTACCACAGGCTAAAGTCCATGTGCTCACTTCGGGAATCTCCATCATGCATAAGACGATAGAGAACTGCTGTCATCCTGATGACAGAAACAAGCCACGGTTCTCCATCTCCAACTCTCCCCCCGGTAGTAGAAATACGTATATGTACGTACACCCTGGAATTGAGTGTGGCCCTTCCCCGCACTTTCTCTCCAGCTCTTCGAATGCATTTCCTAAAGCGGTGCGTCTCACCTCCGCGAGCCTCGGCTGGGCAAATCTGCTCTCAACAGACACTGAAGCCATCCACCACATTGACGCTGCGGTGCCTCGGGATTGTGTCACAACGCCCACTACCCTGTTCACATAGAGACTGAACACCGCCTTGTCCAACAAGACATTTAGGGCCTGCTTGTTTGCTTGGCCTCGGTCCCTAACCTGCTCTCCCCCCTTCCCCCTCTCCCCTCGCCCTTCTAATGCTGCCGCTGCCCTCTGCTGCTTTGTCTCGTCGCTCCTCTGTCCATGTCTGATCTGAGTCTGTCTCGTGCAACCAACCCGCTGTCCCATGCCATAACCGCGTAAATGCTGTCTGTCTCTGGACACACACCTCATTGAGCAACGATACTATTCCCCGAGCCCCGGCTGCCCAACCCTGTACTCGTGTTGTACAGTTTGCGATTGAATGGTTCGTGCTATATATAAATCAAGGTATTTATATATCCTACGCACTTAGCTTTCTTCTACCTTGATACACCGGCGGCAGCAGCCATTTGCTCTGCTCGCCATCAATAATGCCAGGTTCGTGGCCCAACCCCTTACAAGCCAAACCTCAACTCCATCTCCCTCCATCTTCAAGCTCCTCAACGCCAACACGCCCATCTTGATGCAGTCTCCCTCGCCTCCGTGGCCGCCCCAGCCGCAGCCCTCGCAGCAGCCGCCTACATCAACGCCAAAGCGTCTGTCTGGTGGGACATCAACCTCATCGGTGGCTCCGTCACGTCCTCCGCCCGCTTCATATACCGCCAGCATGCCGACCGCCTCAGCATGTTCTACGTCCTGGAGCGATGGGCCCGGTCCGCTTCCCACGCCGACAAGCCCTTCGTCCTCTTCGAGGGCCGCTCCTGGACCTTCGCCCAGGTCTACGACAAGGTCCTGCGGTACAGCACCTGGCTGCGCCTGGCCCACGGCGTCCGCCCGGGCCACATCGTCGCCACGGACCTCCAGAACTCGGACCAGTACGTCTTCGTCTGGTTCGCCCTCTGGGCCCTGGGGGCCAAGCCCGCCTGCATCAACTACAACCTGCAGGGCAAGCCCCTGATCCACTGCATCAAGGCCTCCGACGCGAAGCTGTGCATCATCGACGCCAATGTCGCCTCCAACTTTGACGACGAGGTCCGCCAGGAGCTCGAGGGCGTCACCTGTCTCGTCTTCACTCCCGAGGTCGAGGTCGAGGCGTCTGCTGCAGAGCCTCTCAGGGTCCCAGACGAGGACCGCTCACAGAAGTCGTACACCGAGATGGCCATGCTCGTCTTCACGTCCGGCACCACCGGTCTGCCCAAGCCCGCCATTGTAAGCTGGGGCAAGTGTATCGCCGGCGGAGGCATGGGCCAAGCACTCATAGGCTTGAGGAACGACGACATCGTATACACCGTGAGTCCCCCCTGTTCTCCCACCATCACCTATTCCAAGACTTACCTCTTGCCCCCGACAGTGCATGCCCCTATACCACTCCTCCGCGGCCGTCATCTCCTTCATCTCATGCCTCGAAACCGGCACCACCCAAGCCATCGGCCGCAAGTTCTCCACGCGGACCTTCTGGGACGAGGTCCGCGCCTGCAACGCGACCATCATCCAGTACGTCGGCGAGACCCTCCGCTACCTCCTCACCACTCCCTCCCAGCTCGACCCGGCCACGGGCGAGAGCATGGACCGCCGCCACTCGGTCCGCATGGCCTTTGGCAACGGCCTCCGCCCGGATGTCTGGGCCCGCTTCAAGGACCGCTTCGCCATCGACACCATCGCCGAGCTCTACGCCGCCACCGAGGGCCCCTTCGGCACCTTCAACCGCAGCTCCAACCCCTACGCCCAGAACGCCATCGGCCGCTTCGGCACCCTCTACAACGCCCTCATCTCCCGCAGCGTCGCCCTCGTCGCCGTCGACTGGGACACCCACCTGCCCCGCCGCGACCCGTCCACCGGCTTCGCGAGCAGAGTCTCCCCCGGCGACCCCGGCGAGGCCATCTTCCGCCTCCCCGCCGACATCAGCACCCGCTTCCAGGGCTACTACAAGAACCCGGCCGCCAACTCCTCCAAGATCCTCCGCGACGTGTTCACCAAGGGGGACGCCTGGTACCGCACCGGCGACGTCCTCCGCTGGCAGGCCGACGGCCTCGTCTTCTTCCACGACCGCATCGGCGACACCTACCGCTGGAAGTCGGAGAACGTCTCCACCGCCGAGGTCGCCCAGGTCCTCGGCCTGCACCCCTCCGTCCGCGAGGCCAACGTCTACGGCGTCCAGCTCCCCCACCACGACGGCCGCGCCGGCTGCGCCGCCCTCAGCATCGACCCTTCTTCTGGCGACGAGGCGGCCGCCATGGCCAGCCTGGCCTCCTTCGCGCGCAGGTCCCTCCCGCGGTACGCCGTCCCGCTCTTCCTGCGCGTCGTCGACGGCGAGCCGGGCGGGCACGCCACGGGTACGAACAAGCAGCAGAAGATGGACCTGAGGAGCGCGGGGGTGCGGCCGGGCGGCGAGGGGAGGGTGTACTGGCTGGGCGAGGACGCGTACGTGCCGTTCGGGGAGAAGGAGTGGCGGGAGCTGGAGGGCGGGCGGGTGAAGCTGTGATTTACTGGTCGCTCTATTGCGGTCGTCGTCTTCTTCAGTCCTATGTTTTTGTATTTCGTTGAGTTCTCCCTGGCGTAAAAGCGTGTCTATTATCGTTGTGTCTACCGGTGAGGGTTATATTCTTGACTGAGTAGTAGGTTAGGTAGTTGAAACCTCCCCCCTTTTGATAAGCTATATATGAAGCTAACCCGAGCCACAGTCAGCTTGGACTCAATGTCATTTGTGAGCCCATATGAACAATCTATACATCCCTGAGCAAGGAAAGCGGTCGGTTTAGCAAAGGCACGAGAGAATACCAAGCATCCATCTAATTAGCATTTGGCCCAAAAAAAATTAACAGACATATTCTTGGCTTCCGCTTTGCCGACGTTCAAGACCTTGGTTTAAATTCCCTTGCTGCCCATATCCCTTCCTTTCTCTCCCCTTCCTTTCATCCTATGGTCACCATATGATATGATATTGATGATAGATGATGGTCATGCTGTCGTTTCCATGCAAGGCTACCTAGCCAAATAATGCCCCTGGATAATCATTCAGTTCCTCCGTAATCCAATCCCATACCCAAGTCTCCATCACATCCAACATTTACATCATTCCTCCAAAAAAAACACTTTATTCTAGGAAGGGAGGAGTTCCTTATGATATGCTTTGAAAAATCGAGAGCCCAAGATCATGCAAAAAATTATGCAGGAGAGAGAAATGGAGACGTTCAGTCGTATCTCCTTCCGTATCAAGACCTGAAAGATATTCAAGAATCGCAGATACCCCATTGCACCCATATCGCCTTGGGAAGAAGTAAAAAAAAATATGTTATCCAGATTAGAATATTGTGCGCCCAGCTTCTTTCGTTATTCATGACCCAGCGATACCGAGGCCCACTCGCGGGTTCGTCCCGTATCCTCCAGGCATGGCGGACGCGCTCATTCCCATGGTGCCTGTGCCTGTGCGCTCACGCATCCTACGGCCCTCCATAAGGCCCCGAAGTCCACGTTTCTGCAGGCCAATAACGCTGCTCAGCTCGCCGTCCCAGACCGGGGCGTTGCGGCGATCGTAGCGATCACCGCCAGCCTCAGATGAGCTCATCTCGGAACCGCTCACACTTGTAGTAGCTGACATCTCATCACTGGAGGCTCGGCTAGGCGGGGCATCAGTGTCGATAGTCAGACCAACAGTGCGGGTCGCAAGGTCGGAGGAGAATGATGATCCGGCGCCATTGGAGATCATGCCAGAAGCAGCCGTGGTGCCGCCGAGGGAGAAATCGGATGTGCTCCTTGGTGCGCCGATGGGATCGAGGATACCGACGTAAAAGTTTGGGTTGAGACTACCGTCGATACCCCGCCCACCACCGGCAGCCATGGCAGTGGCATTGAAGACGGCTGCTGCATTGCGGCTATCAAGCAGAGAGTGCAATCGTTCAACAACCGCCTCGAGCAGCCCATCGACACGGTAGGGCCGCGCAATCTGCAAAAGCGAGCACAGAATCTGAGGAGTGCATAGCGGTGACGACGGTGCCGGAAGCGAGCTCGTGTATACAAAGTGAAGCAGAGCCTGGATGGTCAGATAGGTATGCGGCATGTACAGGCAGCGGGGACGCGAGGTGGGTGGCAGAGTCTTGGGCGTGGGAGTGCCGTTGATGTTGCCGGCGTTCAGGTCGTCGCCCAGCGAACCCCCGGCGCCATGAATACCACCCATAGATCCAGACGATGAGGCCAGGGAGGCGCCTAGGCCGTCGTTGCTGCTGCTTCCTGCGGTGTGGCTATTATTCGGAGTTATCGTAATGGCGGACGCGCGGAGCGGGTTGCTTGAAAGGCCGGATCGCAACGTCA